AAGATCCTAGCACATCGATCAGGATGATTCTCAAAAGGGGCTTCTATTAGGCACGTCACATTAGGGAGGTTTGGAAGGCCGCATTCGGGACGGAAACCACGGCATCTACCAGACCCGGCATATGTCGATTTCAATCAGCCGATAAATGAACCGCACGCCGGTGACCATAAAGCTGACCGCAAATGGGAACTTTCGCTTCGGAGATCAACGTCGTTTGGTATTATAGGTTTATGTCTTATTAATTAATAGCTTTTACTACTTTAATTAAATAGATAATAATAACTTAGGTTTATAAAAATATTTTAAATTCTTTAGTTTATTTATTTTGATTGGATTTGACATAAAGCTTAACAACAAAATGATTAGACTAGTTTCTATTTAATTAATTGAACTAATTGATTTTACGGGTTTCAATAGAAACATTTTATGTAGTGTACGCCATTTTGAATCTTCATAATAACCAAAAAAGTTACAAAAACAAAAAGACAAAGACGATGTATGTAGGTCCATTAAGAATAAAAAAATATAAGACATGTCTGCGGAATTGTCACCCTAGTCAACTGGTTATGCTGATGTCAAAATGATGTAAAAACAAAATGCTTATCCGTTACGCTTGTCAATAACACATTGCTATTTAATTTTATGTTGGTAATAAATTAACCTCCACTATGAAGGAGTCGATTTCTAATTCGTTAAAGTCTTCGACATTGGAATAAATTATTTTCAATTAAATTATTCAATTTATAGCAAAAAGCAAGGGGGTACGCTTGCTTCTTATAAGACCCTAAGCCTAAGGTTTTGAAGACAATTTTGTAGGTATTAAATACCTTGTAAAACTTAAATAAGACTTTCGCAGTGGAAAATTAGTTGTGGTACTACTAACCTTTAGATTAATTGACAAGGAAAGAGTAATATTAAAAGCATTCATAGTTAAAAAAATCACATACATTATATTGAAATGGTAAATACATAGATCTTTCTTATACACAACATGTCGCAAACAATTCCACACAAAGGAGAAAAAGAATATCATTTTTTTTTTCTTTTTTTATTACACCTAACTACTACTTGTCTTTAACTAAAAAGTCTAACTTCAGTCTCTTTTAACTACAAGACGACAACATTTCTATACATAAATACGAAATAGATTGCTCGTTACATTTTAATTAATATTAAAACAGTCATGGAAAACCATCAGTGGAATAGGAATACATACTACATATAAAGAAATACTCTAATTAAGGTGAATCGGAGGTGATCGCGTGAGGCCTTAGGGAGCCGACGCGGGATCGACATATGGGCATGACCGCTGTCAGGTGGTCCTAAGGGCACCTGTCAATATTGTGAAATTGTAACACCCGACGTCGTACATTAATAGTTACTCAACATATCATTTGCTTCTTCACTAGTTACGTTACAATCTTGTTACTTTAAACATCAAAGTTAAAAGTCATAATACCTAAATTAATTTACGACATAAAGTAGTTACTACCAGACATCTTTTGCTACGACTCTTTTAATAAGTTTCAATTGTTTGTATGATATACATAGGATGTGTTATATGCAAAACTACGATGAATCAATAGAAAGGTTTGAAGTTAGGAGTTCGCTGCCCCAAGATAACCAGCAGTGGGTGAGAGCGACAGCGCAGCATTCAATTGTCACAGTGAACGAATTCATTCCACAAAACTCATCTTGTGGACGGCGGACGGCGGACGGCGGGTGACGGCATGACGCGGAGATTGCCATGGAATTAAATACATACTGGAAGTGACAATTATTAAATACTTTGTTCGACCTCAGTAACATAAAAAACAAACAAGAATTTTAAGGCATAGGTACTGATTACAATATCTAGATCATTGTCGCATTTTTATGAAATTACTCGAGTACTAAAAAATATTGACGAAAAATCTTCATAACTATAAATTATAATTTGTAAGCCGCATTAAGTTACTGTTTTTTATATTAATTTAGCAGCTACTAAATATGCTTTTGTATCATTTCCAGTGTGTTTGCTTCGGCGAAGGCAGCAGCGGCGACGCGTGGCCGGAAGCGTCACGGCCGCGTGAAGACCGGAAATGGGCAGGATGACCGGATCCTATCTCCGCTCCCGCTACCTGCCGCCATGTTGTGACGTCACCTCAGTACATCGTACACAATGCTGCCAGATTGTCCACATTCGGCATAACTATAATATTAAAAATATAATGTTACCAGGAAACATGACTCCTATGTCATCCAAATCACTTTATCCCGTTATCTTATGACAGTTGTGTTAGTTCAGTTAAGGAATGTCTATCGAAATGACGTAGGTATGTCATATTTTAGATCTATTATAATGCTAGAACACTTTTTCACCGAACGTAATATTAAATCTTTTACCATTATTGGCAATGTATATCCATTTTTAAGTTATGTCTTAGTTTTTTTTTGATTTTTGAGTAAAAACTTTCAGTATATATTCATAATCTAACATGTTATGTATGTAGGTTTTCTCATCCACTGCTTTCCCAAAGTATTGATGACCTACAACTTTATGCGATCAAATAAAGTACATAGCCTATTTTACGTTCCTTAATATAAATGCTTGTTTTCATTTACATAAGTGAATATGTATTAAGAGAATTGATTTTGTATTACATATTATATTATATTGAAAGTGTTTTATCGTTCAATTTTGTAAAATAGAAATAAACGGTAAAGTACAAAAGATAAATAATGTCGTATATTTTTCTACAATATTGTGAAACGCGACTATCCAGAGCCGAAGTAAGTTTGGCGAAGCTAAAGCATCCGCCAGTTATCATTGCGAGAGTATATAATTGTTGGCAATTTCATGTCTCTATTCAGCTCATGAATGGCAACCATTAGGCGGAGCTCTCGACGCGCCCTCCATGGCTAATAAGTGCATTTCGCTTTACAGGACTCCTTAGTGCAGTTTTTAAAGCTTCGCTGTTTTTAAAAAAATGGCCATGAAGGGCCGCCATTTTGCATCGCGAGGGAATTGTAACGCGAATTGTTGTTTAATTGAGGCTATTAAGTTATTAAGTTACTTAAGTAATTAATAGACGTAAGAGTAGAAAGCACGAAATACTACCATGTACGTATTACGCTGTATTCTGTGTTTTATTGTACTATGAATAAAATAATGAATTTCTAAATCCTGTCGTTTTTCTTATATAACCTAAAGTTTACGTCATAAACTAATAGAACGAGTTTAGTCATAACTTTATTATAAGAATACATGGTTGTATTCTAGGCAGCCTTGACCACGCTGGGTTTCGACGTGCAAAGGTCTGTACAATAACCTTAAATGTAGCACCCCTAACGCCACAAAACCCTAGCAGCCCTTTAAGAGTTCATTGGCTGAAATAATACTTGTATAGTAATTAAATGTTAAAATAAATTTTCGTAGTAGCAAAATCAACCCCTAAGTCCGCCTAAATAAATATAAATATGATATAAGAAGGCAATAAAACAGTGTAAAGTGACCTTGGTGTACATAACGGCCCCGCGGTTCGCAAGCCACACCGCTCTCTGCTTGCCGACCGCCGCCCTTCGCGGTTAAGCCTTTCAGACTTTTCTCACTCGGATGCCACCTGCTGTGTACGTAAACTTGATGGTACATATTACCCATATATTATTATCTCATTATTTCATAATACCATATTAAAATTACCTTAATCACACCCTTCAGGATGCAACTAGTCTATCTTAGTTTAATATTTCCATAAAAACATTGTGTTACATAGTTATAATAACTTGTCAGCCGTATCAATCGATAAGAAAAAGAAATTCTTAAAAATCAACGAGCCCAATTAAAATAAAAAAATCCACTAAACGAATGTTAGAACCCGCTACAACGCGGAAATTGAGACGCTGGTGGGTGAGCCGAATATCATCGGAGAAGCAAAAGCTCACAGACTACGATGGCTGGGCTGGGCCGCCGACCCATCGGTCGGGCCCAGGTACCGCTGGCGAGACGCCGTAGAGCTGGATCTGCGGGAGCTACAAGCGATGGACTGGCAGGAAAAGGTACAAGACATGCGACTTTGGCGATCTCTTGTGTCGGAGGCCAAGACCCACTTTGGGTCGATGCGCCAGCGGAGTAAGTAAGTAGTAAGTAAACGAATGTTAAAATAGTAAAAATTAAGATTTAATTTAGTGTACACAATGAAATGTCACGTAAATGAAGCCTCGAGCGTTGGAACGTCGAGGGCATTTGGTGCACCATCTCATTCCGCCAAATTCTCTTTTACAACATTGTAAGATTTCGCGGTTAATTGGCAATTTAGTGTACAATGCATGTCAGTATCGTTTAAGTCATATTTCATATATAAGTGTTACTTCAATGAATATTATCCTGGACAATGGTCCCGGGAGTAAGTCACGATTCCTGTCCGCGGGCGCCCACCTGTGTACGTGCAACAAATTGGCAAATATTTCAATTTTTTTAATAATTCCAAGCACTTACCGCAAGCCGGCGTGATCGTGACTGGTGAAAAGAAACGTTTAAGCTTAAATATGTATTGCAATTATATTACTTAATACCAGTCATATTACGTCACCGATCTCAATGATAATTTTTATAGTTTACATATACAATGACAAAGCGTTCGTTAAAACTGTACAAATTAGTAAACTCGGACATGCTATATAACTGCTCGAATCTTTTATATAATGGTACTATCTGTCCCGACTCCGTCCGCGCAGAACTAAAGCTTAATTAGTAGCCTATATGTTCTTCTAGTTCTAGACTATGTTCTACATATATGCCAAAAATCACAAGTTCCGTTGAGCAGTTCTGAAGATATGAAGATATCTTCAGAGCTGTTAGAAGTAACATATGTACATCTAAACTTTCGATATTTAAACATTAGTAAGATTATAAGACAAGGTGACAAACGAGCAGGCGGCCTGATTTCACTAATACATACAACAAAATAACCTCTGTCCATAGATAACAACTAAAAAAAAACATTTATTATATTTTCAAAAGTATTCCTTGTTCATAGTAAAGTGACAGTATCAGGAACTACGACGGTCAGTTGGTTCTCTGCATGGTCCTCGTGCGTCATCTCCTCGTGTTCAAGCTTAACCACCTCACTGCGCACCAACACGATTACATAGCACTGCATTACTGTAAACATAAACGTAAGTTTCCACTGTCAACAGTCATTCAGATACAGGCACATATTCTCTCTAATGTGTTAAGGGTGGTTTACAGGGGAAACCCTCTCGGTTACCAACGTCAAATCTACAAGAATGAACATTTTAGAGAGAAAGAAAGCATTTCCATTACTAGATATTAACTTACCAACCGTAAAATTACAATTGGCTTTAAATTCTGATATAATTGAAATAGTAAGAGGGACATAAGATATTTATAGATACAAAAGTCATTAAAACATAAGTTAAAGAATCTCATTCGTAGTACTATGCTACTTACTTAATGCAAACAACGCTGTGAACACCTCAAAAAGCATTCCCCGGGATAGCAGTATAAATATAGGCACCAGAGCTGCTAGAGTTGTCGCCACAGCATAATAATTATATAGTCGTAGCATTAACATATCTCTCTGGAATTAAAAAAAAACACTACTGATACGCTTTTGTTTCTTTGGTTAAGTGATCCTCCCATGATCTTCCGCAACACCAGAGGAACTGCAGAGAAAACTAATCATATTTTAAACTAGCTATTCCCATGCGGCTCCATCCGCTTAAATTTCCGTTAATTTTTGTATCATGGAAAACTTTGTTTTATTCTTTACTTTGCAAAAAACTTTTAATTGCAAATGTCAAAATTCAAATGCTCAAACGTCAACGAAGGCCTTCGCCTTTGGCTAAGACCGGTACCATGGCAAGATCATGGTTAGATCTTTGCTGTTATTGGCTTACAATTTTTGTCTCTTTCTCGCATATCACTTTTTAAATTTACTCACCCCCTGAAATTTATTGTGTGAAAATATATTGCCTAAAGTCTGCCGTAAGTATAGGTCTTTTTATAACAAAAATAAATATTCGAAAATATGCTGTGATTGTTAGGATTCTTCGTTGTAATATGTGTTTACGCTTTATTATATTAGTATATATGAATACATTACTCGGTTACCTGATATCCAGCGACAAGTAGCAGTATATTCAGTATGACGCCCATACCTAGTATACTGAACAATACGGTAGAGGTGACGACTTCGAGCGATGCATCGTTTGTCACCGACAGCCGCTGCAGCTCGGTTCTGATAACGAGACACGCCACAGCGCATACCGACAAAATCTGGAAATATTTATAATAGATCTTTCTGAGCTACAACCTGAAAGAACCTATGACATTTTTATTTCAATTAAAACCATTCCTCAATTTAAAATCACGATTTCAATTATCTTAGCTTTTGTAAAACTAATTTATACTGCGCGACTGCCAATATTCTCTTATGAAACCATTCTACTCTAATTAGACGTAAGTTATCAATCTAATCTAAAAATCCATAAAAATTACGCTTTAAATGGTCATTAACGCAAAAGTTAGTTGTAAAAAAATATCATTTATTCTGATTTTCTACTTACAATATTAATATATCCAAATATTATAATCCCCCCGAGCAATGGAATACAAAAGCAACACTTTTCTACTTTAGGCACTTTTAGATGCATCTTGATCTACTATAAACACTAGCTATTTACTCAAATCACTGCAACACTGTGACATTTAATCAATATATTTATGCATCTTATTTTGTTTATTTTATTATTTTTCGTTGATATCAACGCGGTCAAACATTATGACCCCACAAAGTATACGTAAATGTGAATCCGTTTATTGAACCTTTGCAATCACATATTAGTACTTTCACGATTATTTTAGTTCCCAAATACTACGAGTATTATAAGAAATCAAAATAACTTAAAACCAGACATAATATCTAATTAACCGTATGAAAGTTCATAGATACTAATTGTTGTTCAATGAAAACGACACATGACTTTTTTTTACTTTCCAGGTCAGTAATACGACCTGATTGTATTAATAACGATTAACTCGACGTTGTGTCTTGAGATTTTATAAGATAATCATTTGCTCATTGGTTGTTATTGCATAATTGAGCCACCCACGGTACGACCCTCAGCAGACTGAGACCGATTAGCCCCATTTTGTGTCAATATTTGTTTATTTCTCGTTCAATTACCATCTGGTTCCCGTTAGTAGAGTTTGCAGATTTGGCTATCAAACAGCCAGAAGCATAGTGCTGTTTATGCTTTTATTTCTAACCCTCGGTTAAGTTTGTGAACTACTAATTAATCTAGCCCAACTGACTTAATACACAGTAAAATAGCCAAATAAAAAACGAAAAAAGCCGACTGACTGTACCTCTATGACATTCCGAGGATAAGAGGAATGAATTAGGTAACCCTTTGCTTAGACATTAGAAGAAAAAAATGAAAACGACATAGGTACATACATACAAACATATATATACATTATCACTAAAGAATTGCGAAAATAAAAATCTTTTAGCATCGCGTTTCATCTAACATGATAAAAATCAAAAATTAAACAACTTTTTTTTTAATCCAGCGATTTTCTTATTTCTTATTTACAATTTAAAAAACTAATTCAATATACCTTTAAAGTAAATTCGATTTTACCGCGGTAACATCCAGTTGAGTTTGCAGTTTGACTCCATACGTCTTTTACATTTTATAGTCTGTATTCTTTGACAAAATTATTTGTTTTGTCTGTGGTTATTAAAACAATTATTTTACTGAAGATTTCTTAACATTACGTGAGCCGAAATTAATTTGTTTTCTATTTCTTTAAAACAATATATGTGCTAAGTAGATATTAACTAATTGAGCAGACTGTACAGAGCGTAAGTTGTTACATTTTTATTATTTAACATACATTCGGTACTTCTCTTGTTCCACATTCTAAGTCGTTTTGAGGTTAGATAATGGTGCAACTTTCCAAAACCTTAATGTTATTCGCTTTTAATTTATACTTTTATATTTATTGAAATCCGTAATAATTATTTCCTCGCTCTTGATTTCATAAAACTTCTTGTAAAGGACAAAGTTGACATTTTCTGGATTCGGTAAAATTCGGCACTTTAACTAATTTTAATAATATTATATAACTCTGATGTGTCTAAACAAATAACTAAGTTTAATTATTACTTGCTATATATGCATTTTGCGCTTTTTCAGAAATGGCGGCCCAACTCTTTAACCGAATTGGACAACTTGGCCTCGGCGTAGCTGTTGTCGGCGGTGTTGTTAATTCAGCTCTTTACAATGGTATATTATATTTTAAGCTTATATTTTTAAAATAATCAGTACTAAATGCTAAGTAGAGATTGTCTATTTTTACGATTAATTCTAAGACAAAATATCCTGCTTTTGCTATTGCTCCACAGTTTAGCGTTTTCGTCAGTTTATCATTATCATCTTGTTTATTTCTAGTTGACGGTGGCCACCGAGCTGTAATCTTTGATAGGTTTGCTGGGGTCAAAAACCTTGTCGTCGGTGAAGGCACACATTTCTTCATTCCATGGGTGCAGAAACCTATTATCTTTGACATTAGATCAAGACCCAGAAATGTTCCTACCGTGACGGGAAGTAAAGGCAAGTTGCTTTTTAATACTCTATAATATAAAAATATCTAGTATCTAATCTATAGTCAGCTAATCAATGTAAAGAAACTGTCAAACCTAGTCCAAATATGTAAAGGTATGCAAAAACATTAGGTTTATTAAAAATTTATTGAGTGTGAATAATAATAAAATTGAGTTGTCTGTAGAGTATGTAATAATTAGTTAAACAGAAAGTAGAAATCATGTTTGAGAATTTGTCAACAAGACAGGTAGTCTTGTTGACAAATTCTCAAACATGAATTAGTAATTAACCTCCTAACCAAAAAAATCTCAGGATTAGGTGCCTCATATTTTTGTTAAATTTTAAAAGCTTTTACTTTTCTAATAACATTGTTAACTTTATTTTTAATGTCATTCCAGATCTTCAAAATGTCAATATCACACTGCGTATCTTGTTCCGACCTGTGCCTGACCAGCTGCCAAAGATCTACACAATTCTTGGCATAGATTATGAGGAGAGAGTACTTCCTTCAATCACTTCTGAAGTTCTCAAAGCTGTGGTGGCACAGTTTGATGCTGGAGAACTCATTACGCAGAGAGAGGTAAATTTCATAATACAAATATGCAATCACTAAGGTGATAAAGATAACCTCTCATTTATATACTCAGACTAATGATACCCAGGAGATTTTTAAACATAAATATGTATGTTAATAAAGATGAATGTTGCCATTCCATTTATATTTTTGAATGAAGGAGTTGACTTGCTAAAATGTCATATAGATTAAATTGTTTCTTTTTGTGAGTGCAGTGTTTTTTAAATTAATCTCAGTTTGATTTGTATCTTCATATTATTTACAGATTGTATCACAAAAAGTTAGCGAAAGTCTGACTGAAAGAGCATCACAGTTTGGTCTGATTCTGGATGACATCTCTATCACACATTTGACTTTCGGCAAGGAGTTCACTCAAGCTGTTGAATTGAAACAAGTAGCACAGCAGGAGGCTGAAAAGGCGCGTTTCCTCGTAGAAAAGGCGGAGCAACAGAAGAAAGCGGCCGTCATAGCGGCAGAGGGTGACGCTCAAGCTGCCATACTCCTCGCAAAGTCCTTTGGTAGTGCGGGAGAAGGTCTTGTGGAACTCAGACGTATTGAAGCTGCAGAAGATATTGCTTACCAACTAGCAAAGTCACGAAATGTTACATACTTACCTCAAGGACAAAATGTACTCCTAAACCTTCCTACACAGAACTAAGGCAACCTACTGCCATAAGATTTCAGTACAAGTCAGCATGTGGATTGGTACTGTGCTTTATTGCATTTCAGTTAATTCATGATAAGTGTTGCATTTTAAGGACTCAATAAAAAGGTGTGGTTCCGCCGATAGACTATGTAGTCATTATTAGTTTTACGGAATATTGTAATTACGGAAATATGAAATATAATTTGTTGAAATATAGTTTGTTTCAATTTTTTGTACTATTTTTGATTTTCATACTCTAGCTATATACTTAAGGGGTATAATGAAGCTAATGTAACATTATTTCTTATACAGTTTTATTAGTCAGTCTGGTGAAGTCCACAATGGATCATCTCTCTCCTTTACATCATTAAAAACATCTTTATCTAGGAAATAATTCTTTTGTATAACATTGAAAAATAAATTTTCCCTGATGCAAGCTTCTTTTACATAGTCCATTTCATCTTTATTTAAGCCACTTGGTAGTGTGAGCTTGCATAAATTGACATTATTCTTAAAATTTATTATAAGGGTATCTACTTCTCGCTTAAAGTTGTCATTTACTGGTTCTAAGGTTTCCCTTCCAATCAAAGTAATCTGTTTACAAGAGTCTCGAGTTTGTAGTAATAGTTCCAATTCTATCTGCAGTTCTTCATTATTCGGCTGCAGTTTTAGTGCACTCCGAAGTCTTTTTTCTGCTTCACTGAATTGACCAATCATTCGTAGTGCTTTCGCATTTTGAAATAGCATCTTACTATTATTCCAAAGACTATTAAGTCTATTTAATTCATTACATGATGTACATGCTTGAAGTGGCTTCTTTAATTTATTGTAACATATTGCTAGATTACTGTATAACTTTATAAGTAGTTTTTCTTGAATTTTCTCTTCATCTTCATCTGCTAAGCGACACCTATGGAGCATAGACACACTTTTCCTGAACACTTGTGCTGCTGCCATGTAATTCTTAGTTTTATGTAATGTAAGTCCAGAACTGTATAATAATTTAACTTCATGATGAACTCTGTTAAATATGTTCGCCTCAGAGAAATTAATAGGCCTGTAAATAAATTAAAACCGAAAATAAAATTTTTATAAAAAAATTCTATATAAATAATTTATATGAATAGCTCACCCTTGTTTTGGAGTAATTATGCTTTTAATTAACTTAATGTAAAATATACAATCTGCTTTAGGTTTGATCCTCGGTGGAATTCCCATTTCACCATACATTAATTCATAGGAGAGAAGAAATAATGATAGTTCTCCAACAAGCATAGAATGGATTGCTAATTGTAAACCAGGCAATAAACCATTATCTTTGAGATCCACAACCTTCAACAAAAAAAGCATTTCATAATGTAAAAAGATTTTAATAAACAGGAAATATTTTTACACTTTATTAAAAAAACAACTTACTAATGGCTTATTAATTTTAACAAGGTCAAATGGTTCGTTTTCATTTTCCCAATAACCTGTATATGCTATTGAAACAGTATTTTCATCATTTAAAGGTAAACCTCCTCCTTCTTCAATAATTCTCTTTTTTATAAATCCTTTCTCATCCACAGGATCCAGTTTGAGTTCCTGAAATGACTTCACAGGTTGCCCTATGTATTCAAAAGTTTTTCTGGCTTTTGTTTCTGGTTCTAAGTGGTCATCTAAATCTTCATATCCTTCATTAATGTGTAGAATTGAACCTCTTGTAAGAACCTCCCTTTAAAGTAACAATTAATTATGTGACTTTTAGAAATTCAAAATGGTCACCATATTACTCCTACTAAACATTATACAAAATAACCTTGTTGTTTATTCTTATGAACATACAATGGAACATGGATAAGGGCGGATCGAAAGGACCACAATAATTTTCTAGTTTATAGAGTGTTATAGAACCCAAGTGTCTTGCTTGTGAAGGACTGGACAATAACTCGCTTATAGAGGTTTTTCGCTTATCCAGGCACAACCATAATTAGTTATGTGAAACAAAATATTAAGTTATCTGAAATACAATACTCACTTTAAATTTAAGCCATTTTCCAATGCAACCCTGTATGTAGTTGGATCCATTTTAGATAATAAGTTACAGTCTACAAATTTTATATCCTTTTAGATCTCTGGTTGATCCGATACTGCATACCTATTGAAAATTTTATTTTTTATACTACACTGTCAATAATATTAGTCATAACCACTTATTGTCTACAAGGATATTTACTTGCTTAGTATCAATAGTCATAGCCTAAGCCTAGCTGCTCACAAAGTTTTATAACACTAAACATTAAGATGATTTTGAATCCTGGCTCATACAACTGATGATTGCAATTGCTTTAGTACCCACAATACTTAAGCTTGTACGCATCTTCTACTCTTTACTGTTTTTAATTTCGTTTTAATAATTATGTAGAAATAATAAAAATAAAACCGAACCAACTTTCATGTATAGTTTAAAAACATTTGTTTAAAGTCAAATGTCATTGTCACCTCACGTGCCACAATTGACGTTTACGTTTTGATGTTACTAAAAACTTTGCATATGTAGAAAAATGTTTGTTTTCATAAGTTTCCATTCCATATGAACACAATGACCGGTTAAGAAAATACGAATACTACCTGTCGCCCACGACGATTAAAAATATAACTTAATAAGTAGCCTTCCAGACTACGTTCTATATGTATGCCAAATTTCATCGAGATCCATGCAGGTGTTCTAGAGATACCTTCACACAAACATCCATCAACTCATCAAAGATCACGCCTCACAAGATGTTTAGGCTGTTTAGGGTGTACATGTATTCCTATTTTAGTAACACAATTTTTACGTTACTCTAAATCCAGAGATGCAGAAATAAAACTTTTTTTTTTAAATTAAACAACTACTTTAATAAAATATTTTATTCATATAAATAAATAGATCAATAACTGTACCAATATTTAAATTACAACTAAGGCCTTGATTTTTGACGAACAGCTTGTCTCAGCACAGCTATGTATGATGATATTAGGTCATCCATTTTGTAACCCAGTGATGTTTCGCAAAGAATTTTAGTTCCACGAAGAACATTACCCATTGTCATGTGGAAGAAGGTATTACCGGATGACCAGTTAGAAAGTTGAGAGAACGGGTGTGTTACTAATACATCCTGTAAAAATATTTTTAATATAAAAATATGAATGGCTTCAACGCTATATTATATCGTTTTAAGGCATTTAAATACTTACTCGGCTTTGAGGATGGATTACACTAACACCATTCCTATTTATTCCTATAACGACCATTTCTGGATAGGTCGGGTCGGATGTTTGTTTAACCTCAAAAAAAGCAGTGCCAAATGTTGGTAATTGGTAAATTTTCTTTAGAAACTGTTCTTTAGCTTCTTCTTCAGTCATATTCCCATGTCTCAAATAAGCCGCTGTTATCGAAGACTTCCATTGTGAGTTCGTCTGAATTCTTGTCATATCCGATGGTATGAGGTCTTCTAATATTTGAGTAATCTGTGTTAAGCCAGTTTGATCATCTGCATACCGAGCTCGATAAATAAGAGCAGCTAATTCCACTAAATCTTGTTTTGATGTTTTGTGATATCCACGCAAATATTTTGGCAATTCTTGAGGAAAGTAAAATATTTGATCGGCATTTTTATCTTTACCAGGTACTGTGTTAATCCACAACTTTTTCATAAAAAATATTTGATAATTCATTTGAACTTGAGAACCAGCTAAAACAAAAGAGTTAAATGTAATTACATAAAAGTAATACGGATTTTATTTTGTGTTTCGTAAACGAACACAGCCGCTTACCTGAACGTACTGGCCGAGACCTCTTCATCCATTCTACAAGCTCATGAACAAAATCAAAGAAATAATAGTTTTCCGGAACTGAAAAAACTTTGTCTGCTATTTTAACAAATAAACTAAAACCATCGCTGTTTTTCAAATTTAAACGGCCAGTTATTTGTTCACAAAGGTCCCTCGCTCTTGTCGAGGAATCTACTTCAAATGCTTCGTCAGTGTCGTCTGGGAAGTACACTTTGTGATATATTTGCATACTTCTGTGCTGGATCGCTTCCACCTCAATAACATAAGGAGGATACATCCTCGGCCCATGCTTTTGAGTTTTAAATACTCGTTTCAAACATTCTTTAGCTATTGGGTGCGGACGCGTCTTAAGGAATTCGACGAGATCCTTTATCAGTATTTGTCCACAAGCAAATATTCCAGTTACGAGCCACATTAGCTCCCAGCCTCGTTCTTCGCTAAGCTGTATTCGATTGTTAGTCAGTTGTTTCATTATTTGACAATATACTTCGTCACGTAAACTCGGTTCGTTTAAAGCTGCTTTGAATATTTCGTCAGTGTATTCAGTTGCAGATCTAGGTTTGGCTGCCGGTAAATCTCCCATATATTTCTGTATCGCATAATATGCTGTCAAAGCATGCTTGGAAAGTTTCTCATCTCCTATCAACTTTTTAAGTAGCGGTTTTTTCAAATTTTCACGGCTATGTGCCCATAAATCAATTAATAATGGTTTCTTAGCAGTGTTCAATGTTGATTGTTTCGATATAGTAGTATTAAAATCATTATTTTCTCTAAAATACTCCTTGGCAAAGTTTTCCAAAGTATGCATCCTCTTTCTTTGAAGGGTATTGTATTTCGAAAATGGCTTTTTATCAGTGTTAATATTGCCCTTTTTAAACGTATCTAGAATTACATCTGATGGCAGGGAAAGTGTAGGCAGTATATAAACTTGTTCTGTAGGGAACAGGCCTTCTTGATTATTACAAGAACCGTGACCCCATGTAGAATTCATTAAAGTTTCTCCAGTACAGTCGTGCAGTAGTGTTATAAGATCGCCTTTTTTGTACTGTAAGAATGAGGCAGCATCACTATAGCCCTGAGAGTCCATTTGCGCGATAACGTAAGTGGAACGACGTTTTAAACCATCTATGATATAAATCATTAGTGAACTCAATTCGCTTGCGTCTACACTTTGGAAGATAAATTCTTCTTGCTGTATAGTTCTTATGGTAACTCTTCCTACATTATCGTACTCTTCGTCGTCATCGTATGCGACGTAAGTTATCTCCGGGAATGATATTTCAAGAAGAATGTGCTCCAACTGATCTACAATGTATATTCCCGTCCAATTCACAGCTATGATGATAATATCCTTGTTAATAGAGTCTCCTTTTAATTTCACCGCTTCAAAGAACCTTGAGAAAAGCATCGGCCACTTCAATTTTGCGTATATCACTATGTCTTCTTTACAACGCAATGGATCAACCTTTGACTGAATACTTTTAGCAGATTCGAAGGCTTTAGTTACGAGATGTTCCCATTTTGTTAAAGCTACATCATTGGATTTAATAAATTGATTCGGTATGTAATTAACAATTACTTTCCTCAGTACATTTGGATCTATTCGATCGCCATGTTCAATATAATGTTGCTGTGCTGCTAGCATGGCTAAATCTTTCTCTGAATTACATCGATATTCACCAAATTTAACACCTTTTGCGACTTGGTAGTAAATGAGATTGGTTGCTACAGGATCTTCAGCAGGATTGTGCCAAGGAGTAAATACCTCCTTTCGGAAAAATAATCTCCATGGCGCATTCTTTTCAGGAGTTCCCTGTTCTTTAGCGAACTGCTCGCATTGAGACACGGCATCCATAATATGGACGTTTTCATTTCCTAGGGATAAAACGATATCATACAATGTTATGTATAAAGAAAATCCGAAAACATCGGTCAGTCCTATATTATCTGCTATTTGTTGACATATTTCTTCCGATGTAGTCGCCGAATCAGACTGTACCGTCTTCATAGACTCATCCATGAGAGTTACTGTTAGAAGTATTGGTTTTTTCGTTTTGGTCGCTTGCAATTCCAGCCAACTCGGAGGTTGCGTTCTTGGTCCGTTTTTGAATGTTCTCATTAGTCTTCCTTCACAATATGGTGCGTAGCCCGGTGGTCCGTCGCGGATAAATGCTCGTAAGTATTTAACAAATCTCTCTGATGGTGGGAAGCAACCAACACATAGCGATAGAAGTATCCAACCTCGAGCATGAGAAGATTTAGAAGGATTATTCGTCAGTTGTTTACACAATTGACAAAATATTTCATCACTGAAAAACAAAGACATTTTTAAGCATTGCTTCAAATTATATATCTAAATGATTTTTTTTTATTTAAATGCAATTATAATATTAAAAATGAGGACTTTGTTAAAAAAATTGTAAACAATCCAAGCGAGGACTCAAACTTCTCGGTTCAAGGTAAAAGATAAGTTGGAACACAAGGAGATCCTTGCCTGTTTAGTTCATTAATATCTGTAAGTAATTTATCATATCTGATAAGCGTATTAAAATAGTGCACTATCGACTATCAGGTTATCATTTAATACTTAAACATATGTTACACGAATTTCCGGAATTACGCTTACCGTAACTCTTTACGAATGATACCGTGGCCTATGATAAAATGTAACTTTTCTAAGTTTGTGCTTCGCCTTGAATGTAACCAATCGTGATACATTTCGTTGGTAGAGTCATCGTTCATCATATTTCTCATAAATTCTTCGTTCATTTTCGCACGTCGCTTGATTGATTTTTGTACAATTTTACTTGTGCTATTAGGACTTCTTTCAGGTTTTATGAGGGCCTACAAATAATTTTTAAGTTAAAAATTACCAAAATGTATCAGACTAGACTTGTCGTGGTTTTCTGAGAAACATGTTGCTATCTCTGATTTGTCAAAGAGGTTTTGGTCTCAGAAACCCACAGATAGTCTTTGTTAAAATACAATAATATAATAAATTATCAAATACTTTGTTATTGGGCAAAATATATTAATATCATATTAGATATGCGATGGCTTTAAAAGGAAAGTTAAGCTTTTTAATATGAGTGCGTTCTTCTATATGAATTATATTTATAATGTAAATTTTACCTCAAACTCTTTGCTCTTTTGGAATGCTCGTCCTATAGTGTCAGTCAACTTTGTCATCACTGGTATGTTATCAATTTTATCATCAACATATTTGGGTTCCGCCAAATCTCCCATAAATCTGAGTATCGTTATCCAGAGAGCTTGTGCCGCCACATTGTCAATAGGCGATGGCAAGTCTAATAGCGAATTTTTTAAAGGCTTCCGAGAGTACTGGTGACTTGTATTCCCTAGGAAATAAGTTGCTGCAAACTTTCTATAGTTGAAAGCATCAAATGGTTCCTCTTCCAATTCTTGCCGAAGCGGTATTACGTCGTCCGTTGATTGCTTCTCCGTTGATGTCTGTAAACATAAGATAGATATAAAGATTATGATGAATTTTGAAGGAAAATATATAGAAAATAACTCTTACCACTCCAAATCCAGTGCCTCTTACAGTTCCCGCAGGCGTTGAAGTATCTTTTAAGAAACCAAAAACATCGTCGACATATTTATCGTC